TCAAGGTCGTCTTCAAAAATTGACATTCCTCCTTTCTCTCTGCTTCTGAGAGCTTGAGACTGGCCTCGTCACCGGCGAGAAAGAGATCTAGTCCTTGAAGCACACGGCCGATGTCGTTCAGATGGCTCTTGAAGTAGCAAGCTTGGATGTCGGCAGTCAGGGAAAGGGTGTGATTTCGAAGACCCGGGACCCCAGTGTCATCCAAGGAGTTAAATCCCAAGACACGAGCGTCCTTCTTCATCCGGCCCCTCAACTGCTGATATCCACGGCTACTGATGCAGAAGACGGCTAACTCTCTGCCGATCTGTTCGTAGTTGGTAGACTCCTGGATATTTGGTGATGCCTCACCACTCTGCTGCTCCGCGATAAGTTCATCATCCAGTCTGAAGATCACCATTAGTGAAATTATCCTCTAGCCATTGGGATGACTGAAGTTACTCACTCGCGAAGGCCAATGCCGAAGTCTTTCTGAATCTCTTCGCGAGAGTAGAGATTCCGGCCCTGGATACACACACGATACATGTTGACTTTGAGCTGAGTTCGCGAGGCCACCAGATCGTCGATGGTCTCTTTGAGCTGTTTGATCTGCTCAATAAACCGATGCTTCTGTTCGCGCATAGCCTTCTTGATCTCCTTGAGCTCGTTGACTTTTGCAAGTGCATCTTCGGCTGATACAGCTTCACGCTGATTGCAGGAATCATGCAGGTCCTTCGCAAGTTCATCTTCGTCATCACTTTCTTCTGTGTCGCTTGCCTCCACGTTCTCCTTGAGCTGTGTAGCCTCAGCCGACGAGTTTCTGGTCCGGCGTTTGCGCTTGCGAGGTGACTCGTAGGGCGTGAAAGCTCTCTGGCCATTCTTGGCCTGTAGGTGAACTACCTGCCAGGTATCGAGATCAGTGCCGATCGCCTTGTAGTGGGCATGGTGGCCTGTCTTCTGAGACTCCAATATCTTCAACTGCTTCTTCTTTGAGTTGATCTCAGGCTGCATAGTCTCATATCGCTCTTGCTGGTTTCGAATGATATCCTTTATGCCAAGAGTGTCGGCCGCTTCATCAAGGGCGATATCGTCCGCCTTCGTGCAGATGAAGGTGATACTAGAGTATGCACCATCGTACTTGAGCTGCTGCTTGAAGTTGGTGCCCATGAGAGTCTTTGCCGTCTTGTCGTCAACAGCACGATTGATCGGCGCGACTACCCACAGTCTAGTACACTCTTTGATGTACTTGGCCGCCACGGCGGCTCGGGTACTGTTCGAATCCCGTCCTCCGGGCTTCTATATGTCAGCGTAGCCAGGAGCAGAATGAATTGCAAGAACATACCAAATCCACTAGAACAACACCGGTGGATAGAATCTCTGACTTCAAGAAAACACGAACAACCCTGATCAGAGGCCAGAACGCCATCTTGCGTTCCTGAGGCCTGCCATTGGAGCCGCCGCTGTTCTCCTCCGAATCCACAAATGATTGGATCTTCGTGTAGAAATTATCGGGATCGCTGTCTACAACAACCATCTTTGCACCAATCACTTCTTTGATACTCGGGTAGCTGGCAAGCGCAGTGGGATGGCTCTGTTCGAACTCCTCATCATTAAGTTGAGGATAAACAGCGCGCAAAGTGGCGTATGCAGAACCAGCCTCACTATCAGGGTTGCGAATGTCTGTCGAGAGTAGTCTGCCCTCAGCGTCGAAGAGGTCTCTGTAGAGCTGGAAAAGCTCCTCCGTCCATTCCCCTTGGGTGATGAAGTCGATCTCTGCACGGTACTTCTGTGTCGGATCATCGGAGTTGTTCCACGAGATTTCGGTGATGACAGCCGTACAGGCCCGCATACAGTTGGTAGGGACAACTCTTTCCTCGTCCAGAACAGCACTGATTGCAGAGCTCTTTCCGGATCCAGTGTCACCCAGAACGCCAATGACGATGCGCGGCATGCCCGATTTCTTTTGGAGTTGGTCAATCATCTCACACCACCATTTGGTCCTCTTGAAATCGGACATGCCGTCCAAGGATGTCTTGAGGTTACCAAGTAGCTCGGTGGTCTTGGTAGTCGTCTCTCTGAGCTTGAGAGGCACTGTACCCGTCTTAGCACGGTCCAGCTTCGAATGAGCCACATCGCTCAGTGACAAGCCGCCATGGCCATCGTTTTCGTCCATTGCTGCTCCCCGGTTTGACAGCAGTGAGTATCTGAGGTGTGTGGTATGTCAGCGAGTGCTTCTTGGCTTAGATTTTAAATAAAAAAACAGGAGCTAGTTCAAATGAAAATAAGCGACAGAAGGGTGACTGGCAAGGATTTGAGGGCAGATGATTTGTATGAGAGAGAGGCGAGGGTAGTGTAGGGGCAAAAGCGAGGAAAATCAGTAATTTCGAGAAAATTCTCGAGAAAATAAGGGACGAAAGCTCTTCTTTTCGATCGCCATGGCTTGAAGAAATTATTTGATGACTTACCAAGCTGGGAACAAGTGAGCAGAATCGCCTTCCTCACGCGATTGGGAGATGTCAGAATTCCCGAGAATAGCGAAGCCGCTTTCGTATGAGCAAGAAGAGGTACAGTGATGAAGCCTGGAGACCAACCTGGCCCTCAAAACGCGGAGAATCGATTTTCTCAAGCCTGTTGTGCGATGCAGAGTAGGGTGTGGGAGGTGTGGAAGATGCAAGTTTTGGGGCGGGTAAGTCGGTGAGTGGGCGAAGTTAACAACAAAAAGGATGGAGGAAAGAGAGCATAGGCAGACGAGAAAATAAGTGAAGGTGCTCTGTTCTAAAGTAGGTGCCTTCCTTTAAATTTTGGGAGCAAAGAGCGGGTGCTTCTGCCTCCGCCTGTGAGAGAGGGAACCTATCCTGAGTTAGGTGCCTTTTGTCCGGCTGGTATACGTGGGTCGAGTACATGTAGCATGCTGGTGAGTGCTAGCGATCTTGCGAGCGAGGAGCAATTGATAGAAACGATATGATTAAGTCTTGATACTGTACCGATTCCGAATTTGTAGTTCTATTACAAGATATGATAGTGATCACAATGCTACCGGTAGACGTTTCAACGAGTTGCACACAGATCTGATAGGCAATGTGATCTCTCTCACCAAGACTCGAGTATGAACAATGAATTGTTAAATGCTGGTAATCGGATAACAAACAGTATGAAACACCTTAGTGGTACAGTAAAATGTCTACCACATTGGCTATCCCAGTGGACTGCAGTTGTTATGTTGTCATGGGGACTTCGTATGGCCGTCCCGATCCACGAGGAGAACAACAGCCACGGCTATAAACCTGCGCACCCTGAAAGGAATACACGGCTTCCTAATTAGCTTTCAAGGTTCAACAAGCTCAGCACCAGTTTTGGCAATGGCGATGGCGATGGCAAGACAACACAATGTGTTCTAAGTATGTGCAGCGGCTTTGCTTTTCATTTTCGCAGGGAAGTTTTCTAGATTTTGTTTAGCACAAGAGAGCAAGATACGCTAGTTGAACAAAATAAATCTATGAGATGTAAATTCAAAGAAGCAATAGTGGTGGGATCAGTGTACGCAGCAATCATGCTTCGCGATGTAAGGTACGGCAAGGTGTGTCGTTGGACTTGGGCCGCTCACCTCGGGGAAGCAGGTCCGGATGGTGGGGCCGGGGTATCAGGGGTTCAGCCCCCACCGCCTTCCCCATTCGCCAACCCGTGTCTCCTAGTCGAATCGTGGAAGCTCCAACACCTCCGTGCTTTAGCTCAGCTTCCCCAGCCCTGTCCAACGCGCCTTCTTTCCAAAGCCGAACCTGGTCATCAGCTGCAAACTTTCCTATAAGCATTTCCCGCCCACCGCGCGCATCCCACGAGAAACACCCGAGAAGACACAAATAGGGACGACAGCCACAATGTCGACAATCACAACCACGGCCCTGCAATCGGGCCACGCGCCCATCATCCCCCTCTCCTTCAACTCAAACCAACCAGACACGATCCGGCTCTACCCGCTCTCCAACTACACCTTCGGCGTCAAGGAGACCCAGCCCGAGGAGGACCCCTCCGTCATCGCCCGCCTCAAGCGCCTCGAGGAGCACTACACCCAGCACGGCATGCGCCGCACCTGCGAGGGCATCCTCGTCTGCCACGAGCACAACCACCCGCACATCCTCATGCTGCAAATCGCAAACGCCTTCTTCAAGCTCCCCGGAGACTACCTCCGCCCCGAGGACGACGAGGTCGAAGGGTTCAAGGCCCGCCTCGACGAGCGCCTCGCCCCCGTCGGCCGCATCGGCGAGGGCGAGGAGCCCGCCGACTGGCAGGTCGGCGATTGCCTGGCCCAGTGGTGGCGGCCCAACTTTGAGACCTTCATGTACCCCTTTGTCCCGGCGCATGTGACTCGGCCAAAGGAATGCAAGAAGCTTTACTTTATCCAGTTGCCCAAGAGCAGTACGTTTACGGAGACCCTTAACGACGATAACATCAAAACTTTTTTGCTAACCCGTGTCCCCCTACAGAGGTGCTCAGCGTCCCCAAGAACATGAAACTCCTCGCAGTCCCCCTGTTCGAGCTCTACGACAACACGGCGAGATACGGTCCCCAGCTCTCCGCGATTCCTCACCTCCTCAGCAGATACAACTTTGAGTTCGTCGATGAGAACGGCAACATCGTCGCTGCTACGCCCGGCGCGAGCGCACCGGAAGGATACGTCCCTAGAACAAAGGTGCTGGCGAGCGGCGACGATACGGACATGCAGGAGGCCAAGGGGGACGAAGAGGAGAACGGCGAGCAGCAACAGCAGCAGCAGTAAGAGTTGCGAGTCGCGTGAAGCGCGGACGCAGAAAGGGGGAAGGGCTTCTCACGAAAAGGGATCAGGGGCGAGGCGTTTTGGCGTAGGTCACAAAAGTGCCATAGGTAGACCGGTGGGACTGTACAATAGGTTTGACGCGATATTTGCATCGATCGACACCACATAGAATGGTATTCGTCGTTTGAAAGTGGGATTGGTGATTTTGTTCTCATTCCATGTTCTCAGTCTATCTGCATAACACCCCAGAAACTCACGCCTTGGGCTCTCCCTGGATGGTGGCCACGAGGCGGCGCTGGTGCTTGCTAGCCCTGAACTCCAGGTACCAGATTCCTTGCCAAGTTCCGGTGGCCTAGACGATGTAAGTGAGCCGAAAATCCAGCATTTCGACCTTTTTTGCAATGGGACTCACCAACTTGCCATCCTTGATCGGGATAGTAACACTCGCGCCAACGAGAGCGCTCTTGATGTGAGCCTGTGACACATGATATTAGAACACTATGCTGTAGGTAGCATCTCGACATCTCGAGAGAGAGACAGAAAAGAAAAACTCGCCGGCATGTCGTCGGGACCCTCAGCACTGTGGCGGTACAGCTCCTGGCCCTTGGGCCCGGCCTCGGGCGCGATGCGGTCCAGCGCATCGCTCATGTCGGCGCGGACGTCGTCGTCCCAGTTCTCGTTGAGGCTGAGGGCGCAGCTCGTGTGCTGGACAAACAGGTGAAGGATGCCGACTTTATAATTCTTGAGCTCCGGGAGGGCGCCGACGATCTCGTCCGTGATGAGGTAGGAGCCGCGCGAGCGGGCGGGCAGGGAGAACTGCTTTTGGAACCAGGAGCCCGTCATGATTGTTGCGGATGAGGGTGGTGGTGGGGTATGACGTGGGGTTGTGGTAGATGACTTTGAGCTGCTGCTACCTATCGACAGTGCGTAGCCCAGGGCTGTGAGAGGCAGGTTCCAGAGAAAGTGAAATAAGTTGGGAAAGAGGCAGATGATGATGAAGCAGAGGATGAGTAAGGTCGTCGTCTGTGAGGTCTGGTTACGGTTGTTTTGTGGTGTCGTCGGAGACATTGCGTTCGTGCTTGGAGTGTGGAAAATGATGCGGGCGCGCGCTGGTCTCCAATCTGGTGGGGCAGGTTTGATGGATAAAGTGAGGTCAGATTACCTTGGGGAAGCAGCAGATTGGACGATTCTAGTGAGAGAGGTACGGTACTGCACGCAAAAGACGCAGGCAGTAGTAGTACTAATATGACCTCGGACCCCGTGGATTGAGTAAAGTAGCATATTTGAAAATCATTGACAATGCCTTCTGTCTTTTGTATTGGATCCTGTGTCATGTCTCCTTATCGTAGTGATTCAATACCCATTGAAGCTGGTGGTGTATTTCATGGTGGAATCCAAGTCACATTCTGCAGTGCACCATGACGAATGTCAAATTTGTGCAACGACTATCCGGCAACCTTTCCCATGCATCTCTCGAAAAACGAAACTAATCTATAGGGCGGTTTGGCGGTCATGAGTCTTCATTTCAACCCACATTTGCCATCCCATCAACGTCCTTCTCACAATGCCGGCATACCAAATAGCGAATCTCGACAAAGTCAAGCTATTTGCAGAAGATAGCAGCAATGCTGCGCGCCACTGAAGTCTCAAATCTCGAAAACTCACACGTCTGCCCATTTTGAATAGAAATTGTGAAATTGGTTTAACCCGAAGCAACTCTGATCCTGCTATATCTACACAGCCCACGGCCTAGCCCGTCGCACAGCACACGGTGTCTAAACGCTCTCTCTTTTCGTCCCAAAGCTGGCGACCCCTTGCCGCTATTGCTCTTGCCGTTGCCGTAGCTAAACACTCCCGTTCTACCGTCCCACAGCTGGAACTGACCGTCTCTATGCGAGGGGGTACGAGGTTTCGTGGAGGGATTCGAGGTGCTTGCGGTGGTGCTCGTTGGCCTAGTCATTTCACCAATTAGCTCCCCCATTGCTCGACTCATTGCGATGTACAGATAACAGGACATGTGGGATACAACTTACAAAAGGAAGACCGCAGTAGTTGCAGCTCGAAATTTCCGGCTTGTCAGTGTTGATAAAGATTCTAGGGTGACCAGATGGTCCGCCGCCGCCATCGCACGCCACGACGCGGGCGTGAGTCCACCGGACGGGCTCCTTGTGGACGAGCTCCATCGCGGAGTGAGGTTGTGGCTATAATATCGTCGACACACGTCAGTCTCCGATTCCCATAGACTTTCTAACCCTCTGCAGCAATTGCATCTCCAAACAATTGAATCTCCAAACAATTGACTCCTCTTCTCCCATCGATTCTCGCATCCCTCTCTCTCTACTCAATTCCGGGGGGGTCGTCGGCGTCGCTTCGCTCACCTGGAGGGAGAAATCAGTCTGCTCGAACCGCGGACCAGTCATGGCCTCGGCGCGGGGCTTCTGGCTGCGCGACCACACGAGCGACCGGTTGGGCGCCTGCCCAACCGTCTTGGGGACGGTGTTGTCGGCGACCTGGGGCGTCGCGGCCTCGTTCTTCTCGACGACGGCGGGTCTCTCGGTCGTGCGGACCGTCGTCGACACGGTAAAGGGTCTCGAGGCGACGCGGAGCTGCCGCGACAGGGCGCTCGTCGCTGCTCGTCTGGATGCCGACAACATGCTGTGCTGGCTCAATTGAGTGGTGGGGATTGGCTTCGGATTCGAGGGGGGGGGGGGGGCGGTCGTCAATTCGATTCCGGTCCTGGCTTTCAACCTACGCTCGGGTTTCTGGGGATAGCTTGGTGTTCGCTGAAGCAATTGATTACACCTGCTGTCATTCGTCGGGAAGAACTAATGCCCCGTCGACCGAGTTGCCGACCCACCCATTGAGCACGGACCCGACAGACAGTGGGAGTGTGCCTCTGTGCAGTCAAGGCAGGTTTTTGAACTTCACTCGCACCAGGTACCCTAGAATACGGAGCTTTAATCTGAGGTGGTTCACCAAGTCTGTCAGTCAACAACCACTACAAAACGGCATTCCAAAAACACATATTTCACAGGCAGGATACACAGCCAGTTTTTTTTTAAGGATTTGTCATATCCTCTTATAGCATAAGGTGATAATCAAAAGTCATACACACGTGCCGTCATGCAACCGATACTCCAATAAAAACCAGCGAGGCCATGGAAGACTAGCCTCGTATATGCCAGGGCATGAGGGGGACTCTATCTCTATTTACGCCTCATTGTATCCTTTCTGCTTTTGTTTTGTGTAATGCATCCCTCCTCCCATGAACCAACCCCCCGGTACTTGTTCTCAGCCCCATGAACACATTTGCTGTGCTCGCGTCTTGGTATACGTCCAGGCGTCTCTTCATTTCTCTGTGGGACGCCGAAGCGGACAACAGATTTTTTCTCAAAATCACAATACGTTGCAATCGTCTAGTAGATCCATCGGCAAGAACTAGTGTGACCGAGTAGTCTGTCCGTGCGTCTCCGCGTCATCGTCGAGGTGGATCTCAGCTGCCTCGGTGGAAGCGGCATCGTCATCTGCAGCCGGCACAGAGATGACCTCTGCATTGTTCTGACGGGCCCATGCGGCGGTCTGGATCTCTGACAGACCAACCTGAGCGCCAAAGTCGGGCGGCGGAGGCGCCTCATCATGGGCGGTCTCGTAATCTCCCATGGTCTCATCAAACTGCATATCAGTGTCGTTGCCGACTTCGCGCTCGTCTGATGAGTCTGGTTGTGCGTCGTCGCTACCGTAGCCATCCAGACCAAGGGAGTTATTGGTTCCATCAGCGGAGTCCAAGGAATTCCAGTTCCAGCCCTGCGTAGCTGAGAAAGCAGTCGAGTCTCCGTTGTAGTCCGTCATGCCGATGCCCTCATCCTCAATGCTATTTTGGATGTTGTCGCTACCAACATTGGTGCTGGAGCTACCCTCATAAGGTGGCAATTCATCCTCTGCACCCGGGTTGGCCGTAGACATTGTGTTACTAGCCAAACCACGATTTCCGCGCGGGTGAGTTGCTTCGGCTCCGATCCCAAGTCTCGACGATCCAGTTAGGGAGGAGCCCCCGACGAGACGTTGATCTTCCCCCGAATCGGTGTCCTCTTCATCATCGTCTTCTCCATCCTTGTCGAACTTGTCGAAGATCTCCTTGAAGCGAGGGCCGCCCAATGGGCCCTCGGACCGACGCCGGTAGAAGAGCAGGTAGGCCGCTCTAGTAACGACGCTCTCGGGCGAAGTCTTGCTGGCTGATGTATCTGGAAAATGGTGAGTACGAGAAGTCATGCTCTGCAAGGGTCTACCTACCATTGTAGTTGTACCACTGGCCGTCAACAAAGTTTCGCCCGTAAGCAGTGTAGTGGCCACCGCCAAGACCACCAAAGTGATCGTCAACAGCAATTAGGTCGTAGATCTCTTCCTTGCCCGTCTCCTGGCAAAGGACGCGCTTGTGAAGGTCGAGACCCTCGATGGGAAAGTCAACCAAAACGTCAAGCTTGTCGCGGCGCCAGCCAGCACTGCTAAACCGCTTCAGGTGAACCACGAGGATGTCTGGCGTCTTCCAGAGATCGAACTTTTTGCTAGCACGTCGATGCTCCTTGCAGCGTGGACAATACCACATGTCCTGCTCAGACAAGACTTCGGCCTTCTCGAACTCGTCCAAGCACTCCTCAAGGGTAATGCCCTGTTTCTTGCGAGCCATCCGCGACTTACGCTTCTGTTCCAAGATGGGGTCCTTGAGCTCCTCCGGCTCGGTGAATGTCTTTGAGCCGCGGTTATCGTCGCTGTCGCGCAGTGACTCCTTGCCAAAGACCAAGTCCCAAGTTTCCTCAGACCAATCGACAACAATGCCCTCATCCAGACGGACAAGCGGGCCACCGCGAATATCGTCCTCAGGCGATGGCTGAGGCTCAACGTCGACCACATGGAAGGGCTGCTCTTTGCTGTTCCGCGAGTCTCTGTTGCGGCGCTTGCCGCCCCTCTTTCCGTAGGTCTTGTTGCCCTTGTTATTCTTTCGGCGAGCTCCACCGACCTTGTGGTTGCCCCTTCCTCGGTTCATCGGCTGTGTAACGTTAGCTTGTGCCGCTTCTCTTGCTGTCGCTCGCCCGGTGCATACATACCTTGATGACGCGAACGGGCTCGTCTTCTTCTGACTCCTCCGCCATGCGGGTCTGCTCCTCAACAGACTGCGGAGTAGTCTCTTCGCTGACACTCTCGTGCTCACTATCTGCACCGTTGGTAGAGCCAGGGCTGTTCGAGTCCTCGTTGGGGAGTTCCGGGGCACGAGAAGATAGGAGACGAAAGCTCTTGTTGTCGTCCACCGTATTCCAGCCCACGGGCAACCCATAGTCGTTACTCTCGCCAAAGAAGCTGAGCTCGAACAGGTTCTGGAGGTGAGGCGGGAGGTATTCCTTGGAGTTCGCCCACTTCGGGCGGCGAACGTTGAACTGCTTCAGGGTAGGTCGCCGGGTCTGCTGTTGCTCGCCTGCGCCGACAGAAACGTTCACCAAGTCATCCTCGCCTTCGACCGAGTTAGAGACAACCTTACTGTCTCCTGACGAGTCAGCATCTGACTGGGATGTGATGACCATATCCGCATCGGTGCTCTCATCGGTTTCCTCAAATTCTGACCAGGTAGAGAACGTTGCCACCTTTTCCAAAACCTTGCGACGAATGGCATCCTCATTCCGGGACTACAATGCTGTTAGTTTCCCAAAAGTGTCACAAGAACTAGTATTCAGCTTACCTCCTCAGGCGTGACAACGATGAAGTGAGGGGGCGCTGCAATATCATCTCCCCTCAATCTGTAAGTATTGCCCGTCTTCTTGCGGTGAAGAACAGGAACCAGCAAACGCTCAGTGCGTGGGTCAATCCATGGCTCATCACTAATCTCTAGCATCGAGCTGGGCGTACCCATCTTCTTCTGCTTGGGAGGGTAGTTGGTCGGCGACGATTCCAGCTCATGGAAAGCAGGAATATCGTTGGACTGGATCTCCTCTGAAACCGAGGTGGCGTCGGAGTAGACCTTGAAAAACTTGCCCTTGAACTCCTCTGCTCCCATCAACAACTCCACAGGCACACCCGTCTTGTCTGAGAGCGCCTTCTTCAACAACTCGATGGCGCTGTGCTTCGGCAGCTCAACCTCAAACTTCACAGGCACGTCGTTGAGCGGATAGAACTTGACAGGCCGGCTCCACATGTCCTCCATGGGCAGCGGCAAAGTTAGGTTGTTGAAAGGGTCGAAAGTAATGCTGATCTTGTCGCACGTCGGGCACTTGAGAGTGGACTTGTACAAACCAGTGAAGAGGTCTGCAATCACGGAGTCGTCGCGCTTCCGAGTGATATCCCAGACCTCCTCAGCCATCTTGCGAATGGCCTCCTCGTCACCTATCATGTCGTCTGTTGAGTCCGGCTTCTCAATGTAAGGTTTCTTATGAATACGACTGAGGTCCTCTTGCAACGCGTCGAGGAGGAAACCGAGGAACTCTTGGGTATCTTGTTGACCCCAGCCCTGGAAAGTGGCGCGAGCACGACCGACTGTGTTCTTGAAGTCGCGAGGACTGACTGCACCTCTCGACTCGTTGTAAATCTCCTTGAGAAGTCCACCGTAAGCCATCGCCACCTGTCCTTTGTAACCAAGAGGGTTACCCTTGTTGAGCTCCTCTTTATACTTGTCCGTCAAGAAGTACTTTGTCAATTCCTCTACGCTGCGGACGCACTGTAGGGCCGAGTTCATATAACAGGTGTTTCCAAGGTTCTGAAGACCTACGGCGCCTAAGCCCCGGCCAGGTTTCTTCTTCTGCTGGGTTCGGCCTCGAGTAACGGGTCCTTGAGGAGCAGGGCTGCTTCTTCCACTGCTGTTGGCCTTCAGGCTCGCGGCAGAGCCTCTAGATGCCAGAACCTTGTCGTTCTTGCCATTCTTGAAGTAAGTTGAGACCCAAGCGTTCTTCGCGATTTCTTCGTCAATCACCAGAGTCATGTCTTGCATAAGTCCATAGACCGAGAGCGGAGAGTTGCCGTTGTAGTTGGGGTTGGCAGTGTTGTCCACGGCAGGCACTACCTGTCGGTCTCCGCCGTTGACCTTTGTGAAGCTAGGCACCTCCACGAGCATGCGCTGCCAAGGGCCTGACGAGCTCTCGCCGTCCTTGTCCGGGTTTGGGGAATCGGGCGGTGTAAGGGCAGACCGAGGTGATGACTCTTGCGCCTCGGGCTGTTGAGTAAGCTGCCATACCCGCATCTTACGATCCAGAGGGACCCCGGTGAGCTCCTTCAGCTCTTTAAAGAATGGGTTGTAGGGTGTGGTGGCACTCCGAGCCAGGACGAGGGGCTCCTTGCTCTTAAGCTCGTCTTTAATCTTGAAAGGACTCGCGATGGACCAGAGTCTGTGGACTGTGAAGACGGGCGGATTCAGTTCAAACATGACGTTCTTTTCGGTCGTCGAGTCCGGCGCCGCGTTGATAGCACTGCGCACGATAGGCTTCTGTCCCTCGCCGACGCCATACCACTCTGAGACGAGCGTCCAGGCGTCTTCTGGGAAGAGCTCGCACTCCTCCATGCCAGTACCAGGCTTCATCCGGACAAAGTCGTCACCGCTGGGCTGGGACAGGACCTCGAGAATGAGATCGGAATTGTCCACAGGACCTAACGGCTCGTTTGTCGTCTCTTTCTTGGCGAACTTGGGGTCTCCGCCAAGCGCCAAAGCCTTTTCCACCCATGATCTTGACACAACGTATGCGACATCGCCAACTTTCGGGGGTTCGTCATTGAAGGCCTTCAGGAGGGTCTGGATGGTCTTGATTTGATCTTCGAGAGGGGGGAGATCTATCGGAAAACCCTTGGTCAGCGAATAGCCATCTATATAGTCTCACAACCGTAGATACTCGTACCCTTGTCATTGGATTTGTTGGATGCTCCCTTCGCAACATTATCGGGCAGGTCGACACTCATGGCCCTAGGCAAGTGTGTATTGGAGGAAGTCGGGGCTGACTCGGCATCCTCGGCAGACTTTTGCTGCTGCTGCTGCTGGTGGTGGTGGTTGGTTGAGGCCATCTCGACATCCTCCTCCTTCATACTGACATCGGCGTCGGGATCCATGCTGGAGGCTCTTCGTTTCAAGGGAGAGGAGGAACGCTGGTGAGGGTTGGCATCACTGGTCATGATGGCGCGGCGGGAAACGTTGAAGGGAGACCGGCTTCTGGCTGAATGGGACGTCAGCGCAGTGCCAGTCTCTGTGCCAGAAATATCGCCTCCTCGGTCGCTGTCAATGGACAGGTCGGCAACACCACAAGGTGATGAGGCAGCTGTGCTTGATGCGTACTCGGCAGAGACGAGGGAGCCAGTCTGCAGGCGCGCAGGCAGGCTTGATGCTGGGTACGAGTCGCCTCGAAGGTATGTAGGGGTCGACAGGCCGTCGGTGGAGTGGGCGGCAGAGAAGGAGAAGGCTGGATCGTCGTTTGGCTCGCACGACGGCAGGACGGTGTCGGGAGAAGATGGATTAGATGTGTCGTCGGTGCGCGTCTGATTGCGAGAGATCTTTCTCTTCTTTGAGGAAGACGTGGTGAAGGCGAGCTGCCTGTGCAGCTCCGGAGTGGCAGCGGGGGAAAATTGGGTGCGGTGACAGAGGGCGGGAGAGGGCGTATTGCATGTGTGGTGCAGCCAGATCCAGGACCAGATTCGGGTTCACAAGAGGATCCGGTTCGATTCGAGGTCTGTCCAGCAGTACTGGACCTCGTGGGGAAGAATCGACGGTACCTCGGGCACTATAATGCTGTGAGGTAAGGTAGGGCAAGCCGCAAAGCCGATGGGGGTGTGCAGGTGCAGGTGCAAGTGCAAGTGCAGTGGCAGGTGCTGTCGGGGAGAAAGAGAATTAATTACAGCTGAGGACGTCCAGACACAGACAGACGACTGTACTTTTGGGGGTGGGCTGTGGGGTGGAGAGAAGAAAGTGGGAGGGTCCGATGGAATAAGATGCAGACAGTGGAAGAGGGTAAGGTGACTCGTGAGGGCAGCGGGTAGCAATTGGATCTAATTGCAACTGGACAGCAAGAGCTGTGCTGTGTTTTGCTGTGCTGTGGCGTACTGTAAATGCGCTGTGCTCGTCCAGTCTAGGTCGGTGTCTCGGTGAGAGGTGTGTAAGAGGGACGTGAGCTGGTGACGGGAGGGTGAACGGATGTGGGTGTGTTTGAGTTGGGGCAGATTAGAGATGCCCCAGTCCAGTGCCTTCTGTCTCTAATTTATGACCTAGGCAAGAGGGATGGGAAAGAGCGAGGAAGAGGGTTGAAAGAGAGAGAGACTAAACGGATTGAAACGAGAGGGAGAGGCGTGTGGGTTGAAAGGTCCAAGGTCTCACTCTGTCAGGTCACATTCTATCTGCTTGTCACAACTTTGCACAGCACCTTTTACCTACTGCCATACTGCGTACACATAAATTCAAAGCAAGCAACGGTGCTGCTGTTATTTCGCAAGGTACTTCCTGAGTAATGCATCATCCATTGCTCTGGGCTGTTGGGGGAGCCTACCAATTCAATGCTACAAAGGCGTCAAAGGCAGCAAATTCTGGATGCGGACTTTTGGATTTTAGTCAGTGCGGGATAGAGACTTGACGCACGAGTTTAGACCATTTCCACCACCCACCCCCAAAACATCTCAGTCCCCCCTCTCTCTTTCTACTTTCTATATTGGTCTAGGATCGGGGGGTGGCCTTGCCTGACCCGTGCTGACCTGACGATTGGATGAATGACTTGTCAAGGCATCCAGAGTACGACTGCGGCTTGGAGGCTCGTCCTAGGAGCAAGTGATGGATGTCATTAAACATATTTCAGTTCCTTCCCTTCGTCTAAATAAATGCTCTCTGTTGGCACAATCACGATTAGCATCAAAGGCACCATCCCTATAGATTCTTCCCCGCACCTAGCCCAATATTGGGTCTGCTTGCCCTGACCAAGGCCAAATGAGATGTCCTGTCTATCCGTATAACTACTTGTAGGGAATATTCGGTAAAGGGCAAAGGAGCAGACTCCCTCACACCAACTCCAATTCGTCCAAAATGGGACCGAAGAAACCTCACAGAATTTTCGACCCTCCCCCACTGAGACTTTCAACACTTGGGAAAAAGGAAAGAGACGGTCAAGAAATTTACAGGGAAGGCACGTATTCAGCATTGGAGAAAGAGGGGACCGGGTACGGTGAGGGGGGCAGAAAGAGGAGGGAAAAAAAAAAAAAAAAAAAAAACCAAGTCTTTTTCTCAGATCCCCCCGATCTTGTGTTCCTTCCTGCAGTTCAGCCCACCATCCATCCCCACACTTCACTCAACTTCCCGTATGAAGGAAGGAATTGACGACCATTGACTGCACCTGTTTTGAGAAAAATCAGTTCCATACCTACGGAGGAGTACTGCATACAAATCTCAAGTCCAAGCGCCCTCACGCCCCCACTATGCATCTCTCCATCCCACCTGACGTCAGCTCAGCCAGCACTCTCATCGTCTCGGAAATGGCGTTCCTCACTGACAGTAAATTGTTACCCATACCTCGGGCTGTGTAAACAGGTTCTACCATGCTTGAAATCTTAAATTGTTCACCATATTTTACTGCATGTACATTCTCACTTTCAATTGACTCGGCCAGAGATAAACCCAACATTCGCCACTTTCTATCCATGGCTGACTCGTGCAGTCTGCTCCTGCAGGGGTCATTCGGTAGTTGTTACTCGGACATCTCGTCGAACTTCCATAGGTATAGCATACAAAGCTGTAATTCTTCTATTCGACTTCTCTTTCCCGAAAGCTACCTCAGGTAGCAATGGGAGGAGGCAGTCTTCCTTTCCGTCTGTCTATGTGGACAGACGGAACCGGGGGCTTTAAGAGTTACTAGGGTTCTATCCTATGTCGTGAAGCCTCATACCATCATGCTCCCTATATTCCATCCATCAATGCCTGTACACCCCGGGACCGAATCCGACGGCTATGTCTCTCCAAGCTCTTGTTTGACTGAAGACAACATAGGTAGTGTGACCTGAGTCCGTTGTCTCTCTAGCAAATGCGTCTTAAAAAACACTACCGAAAAGTCTCAACGCCGCCTCTGTGTGTGTGTGTGTGTGTGTCTGTATGTCTGACCATGTATGCGTGAACATCTTGAACAACCCTCATCCGCCTTTCTCTCCTCATAGCTTGGCATCAGTGTCTTCGTACTCAGTCAAATCCTTGGCAGGTCGCGCGCCACTAGTCGCAACAAGGCTGGCTCGGAAACTGCGAACGTCTTCGATAACCACCGGTGGAGAATTTCTTGATGGCAATGACTCTTCTTCTTTGCTGACGCCGTTGACCTTGGCCTCGGTACCCTCCTTGGCCGGTGCTGTAGCCTGTGCACGTAAGTGCACCGAGAGCTTCGCCCGTGTTGCCGATCCGGGCTTAATGTACGTCTGGAAGAACTCCAACATGTCGGCCTTGGTGAGCGTCTTGATGTGGGCGGCGTCTTCTTGAGCTGTTGTAAATAACGTTGTCAGCACTTTATTTATTCCGAACTTCATGTTTGGCAACTTACGGAGCTCAAAGTCGTAATATTCACTGGCGATCTGGGCCCAGTGTCTGCTGCTCTCCTGGTCTAGGTTCTTCAACTTCTCAAGCCTCCGGACAATCAGACTGCGCTTGTGACCCTCAAAGTCTGCCTCGGACATGTTGTCCAACGTGTTGGAGAACAGGTTGAGGAAAGCCTCAATTCTCGATTCAAGGTACTCGGGTGTCCGTTCACTCTGAATGATGAACCTGAAGCCATACGTAGTGGAGAAGCTTCTAACTCCACTAAAGACGACATAACCAAGCTGCTCCTTGGTTCGCAGCTGGTCAAAGGCTGGCTCGTGTGCCATTTGGTCTAGCAACATCGTCTTGGCTCGTACCATTCTATCCCCCTTGTCGCCGACATAGAGCCAAACTTCGATGCAGTGGTTTACATTGGCCGGATCCTTGAGCGTCTTCTTGTATACGTAGTTTGATCCGGGGGGGATGACCAAAGACCGAATCACTGGCCACTGGGGTCGCGGAAGAACGCGGGGCTTCAAGACGGTTTCAATCATGTCGGTGAGCTTGAGAGCATCCTCCTTGTACAAGTTTCCGTGAACATAAGACTCAATGTGGACCTGCGAAAGCATCTGCTTCTTGAACTGCCGGACGTCTTCAGCAGTAATGTTAGGCAGCTCGGCCAGGTATTCCTCCACAACGTAGTCGCGCTCAGAGTTCAACCACGTCGTATAATCAGAGACCTGGCTGAACGGCTGTTGTAGTTCCCAATTGTTGTAGCCACGATTCAGGCGCTCCTTGATAATGTCGAATCTCTCGTCTCTGATCTTCAGATCCCTGATCGTGATCAAAACCTGCTCCAGGAGTACCGCCAGCTTGTCATTGTACCCGCTAAGGTCAAGGAACAGACCTCTGGCGTCGAGCGAGACGCTGTACTGCAGGCCTGCAAGCTCGGCATCGTACGAGTACGCCTCCAACGCATCGCGGACCAGATCGGTGAAGAACCTTGCCTTGACAGCGTTCTCCGCGGTGGAGTAGATATTGGGGTTCCGGCAGCTGATGACCAAATTGGCCTTGGGCACCCAAAAGGTGTCATCCTTCTTGAACCACGTCCGAGCGAGGCCATCACTTCGGACGACACGCGGCGACAGAGCCGGCTCCTTGACCTCCTTCTTCTCGACCTCAAGCTTGGTGGGGATGAAATTGTTCTTGTGAGGAAGGTGAAGCTCGGAAAGTCTCTCCGACGCAGGGCTTGAGACGGCCTTCTTGATCTCAGCCATGAAGTCCTCGGGGATCTTTTCGTGGCGGTACTCGGTACCATACCACTTCTCCTTCTGATTCCAGTCACCGGGAAACTTTTGTGACACAATAGTCATACGGAAGTTGTCTGGTCTCAAGCACGCCAAGCCCTTTTCAATCAACCCGGAATCGAACTTCCTCAACCGACTGTATCCGCTGAGTAGCCATTCCCGCGGGAGAGGCTTCTGCATCACAGAGCTGATCTTGCTCGTGAATCGGCTTGCTGGGGTCTTTTGCTTGAATTTGAAGTCGACGTCGGCCATGCCCTTCTGTTCGTCAAAAATCCATTCCTGGGGTGGCGCCTCCTGGAGAAGCGCGACATATTGAAAAAAGACCTTGACAATCTCCTTGTAGTTTTTGAGACCCTGTGGTGTACGTCAGCATTCGAGGTGGGGGAGTGTCAAAGCGATGGTCATCTCAGTGCAGGACTTACCTCCTCTGTCAGGCGAATCTGACAGTCGAAAATACCAGGAGAGCCCGGGCAAACGGGATAAGCACCGGCACTCAAGCCATTGGCCCAGCCCTTTTCCTTGACGTAGGCCATGATGCTACCAGGGCCCTCGTGACCGATCAGGTGGCTTACATAACGACTAGGTTGCGACTCGTACATTTTTTCCTCATCGAGGAATGGGAAGAAGAGGTTCAGCTCGCGAGAATCCATGACGGGCTTAGCAAAGACTTGCATACCCAGCTCACTCTCGCGGAAGGGC